TGAATAAATTTGAATTAATGAGAATGAGTTGCACTTAGAGGAAATAGATTTAAACCTAGAAAAAAGTCATGAGAAATCTAATAATGCTGGAAATATATCATTATATGAAAGTGAATCAACAAATGATAAGTTAACATAAGGTAATTTTTTGTCATTTTTATTTTATTTTTACTGCACTGCATTTATTTAATTGCTATGTTATTTTATATTATATTTTTGTTATAATTCATGGTTTTAATATTTTTTCTGTGTAGATGGCTTCAGGTAAAGAGCCTAACAGAGGATTGATCAAAACTATTTTTAATAAGCATAGTAAGAAGATCACTACAGGAGTAACATCTAGGCCTGGCAGCTAACAATAGCGTGGAACCGCATGGGCCAGGCAGGCCGGGCGCGGGCCGGCGGGCGGGCTTAGCGTTCATGGGTCAACGCAGCGGGCTGGAGCGGACCGCGATCGGGTCAGCGAGGCGTTGGGCAGGACGGGCCTCGGGAGGGCCAGACGGGCCGCGGGCGAACTACGGCGCGGTCGGGAGGGCCGCGTGCGAGTTATACTGCCGCCGCTGGCAGCAACAGTGGACGGTCGGCCGGTTCGGCTATCTACATGATTCCATGCCCAATTGTTTACCCAAAAAGGCCAAATCATATGTTTTTGCGGTCCCCGGGACCATTTTTTGACATTCCAGACTCAAATTTGGCACTTAAAGTCATTTAGAGCTCTTACATGCAAGAGCGGATTTCAAATCACATGGAAATTCTTCAAAGTCTGTGACGTATATTTTTTTGACTCCTGGAGCTTCGACATCCGAAAATAGGGGGGCAAATGATATATCCTCAAAAAATCTTCTTGATCAAGCACAAATCTCGAGGCAAAATCAAGCCGAAAACTTCAAAAATTAAATATGGGATCACCTAAACTCCGATTTTAACAACTTATATGCAAATTGAGCATCTCGAAAATACAAACCCAATGACACCAAATTTGACTCAATCTGAGCCCAAATGAGTTCAAATCAAAGACCCGAAGTGCTGTTGGAAAGTTTGAAACATAATTTTAGTTACCAAACGGTTTCCAAACATGACGTGCTTATAGTCGAATCGAGCGGTTCAACGAGACCAATCAAAAGACCCAAGATCGCTGAATTCCGACATCATTAAGACCTTCAAATGCCTTATTAATGGTCCATGATCAAAGGATTCAATATCGGCCGTCCATCCGATCACTTCCTATTTACCCCTGTTCTCTCACCTATTTACAATCCATACCACTCTATAGTATCTATAAATAGACCACTCATTTCTCATGAGAGGGGGACCCAAGCAAGAAGAAGAGAAGGATTGGAGGGAAGAAACTCCTCCACAACCACCGCCGAAATTCTGCTCGACGCCCGAGTGACACCAAAATTCTGTCAGACGCCCGAGTGATGCCGGAATTCTGTCAGACGCTCAAGTGACGTCGGAATTCTTCCCAACGCCAAAAAGGCGCCAGAATTCAACCTGACGCTCAAGTGACGCCATAATTCCATCCGATCTCCAAGCGACGCCGGAACTTTGTCTGTGTTGTAACTGATTTTCAATCTAGAAGTGATTCATGGTAATCTGATCGTCCTAAATTTTAAGGACGAGTCAGCCTCTTGTATTTCAAGCAAACACTAGTGGAAATCTTTCAACTGGGGGTAGCCCTGTGGTTTTTCCCCTTTGAGGGTTTTCCACGTAAAAAACCTGGTGTTATTATTTCTCCTCTGTTTGTGTGCTAGATATTCGTATAACACTTAGACGACGGAAATTTTTTAACTCTACCGCCGCGTATATTCTAGCCTACAACATTACCTAAATAATCATATAATTTTTTTTTAATCGAGCTAACTAAAAGAACTTGTAGACTTGCCAAGTATATAAATTAGCAGTACAAATAGCAGCCCCTAAAACATTCAGTGTTACTTCGACAAAAAAAAACTCAATAACTCGCTAACCGTATGTAAGAAACTGATTAAAAGCGCGAATGGATCTCACTTGTGTTTAAGAGAAATTTTTTTTAACATAAATCGGAATCACATTTTTTAGGTTTGATTGTCTATTACTTAAAAGAAAAAAGAGAATGAAATAAAATTAATAAAAGAGAGAGAGAGAAAAAAAATAAATTCAAATATCCTTATTAAAATTATAATAAACAGATCATCCCGGTTAGGGGAAAACCCGGTCGACCTAGCATGCAACCCACACCAATTTACACGGGCCAACACTTAAGGCTTGCATGAAGCGCCGAGGGGATTCGAACTCGGTACCTGGCCTATGGCCAGCCAGTTCTCCACCACCAGGCCACCCCGCGGTGGGTCTTATTAAAATTTAAACAAACGATTTTTTTTCAAACTAATAAAATAAACATAATACATGAAACAATAATCAACAAGCTCTTATATACTTTTCCAAAAATGAATTTAAAAATTATAAGATTTATCTTTATTAAATAGTGATCAGACGTCTAATTATTATATATTGTAATAAATTTGATAAAATTTATTTCATTTAAATTACATCCAAATCAAACAACCAGTATCTAATTATCAAATAAACCATTTTCTTTTCACATAATTCTTCTACGCCAAACAAATCTTAATTATGTGGCTGAACATTCTGCAGGCCTCCTTTCACTTTCTGAGCATTAGGTATGAGTTTTGTCGTTCACTGGTTATCTTGTTCAGATGGCTTATCAGTAAACACTTGCTCCTATCCCCACTAAAATAAAGAAGATTAGGCAGCTTCATTAATTAAAGGATTTGACTAGTTGGCTGATGATTCGAAGGATAATAGCCTGATGAGCCACCTGACAGATCAGATAATAATATGTGGTCAACAAGACAGGGTATTTACAATACTGCAGCTCATCTTGATCAGCTGGTTAAGAATTTTAGCTATCAACTAGCAATAACAAAAACATCAGCCGTTTACAAGTCGCCGCTAGCTTCTTGCAAAGGTCTTGAATTCGAAGCTTACGTATGTGATGTGTGTGAGAAGTTTGTCATAATTGACTCAAAAATCTAAGAAAATAAAGACAGTGTATTACATTTAATTGTTTCTCTCATATAATTTATTGTTATCATTGAAGAATATGTTTATTTGCTTGATTTAATTGGTGAACGTTAATGTGATGTGCTTCTTAACGAATTCTAGCGCTATCAGATTGCAACTAAAAAGCAACTTGGTATTGAAAGTTCGAAGCATTTATTAGCCAAGCAACTTGCAGGGATTAACGCTTGTGGCTGATTTCTAATTCATATTATTTTACTATGAATATTGGTTACAGAAAGTTTATTTCAATTTTATTATAGAAAGAGATATTTTACTTTATAATAAAAAAAAATATTTAATCTAATGATAAAAAAATTAAGAAGAAATGAATAGATTGAAGAAAAAATGAATAGAGAACTTGTATTTCCTCCGGTTATCATTATAAAGAAAGGAATTTCTTTTTGTGTGATAGTTTTTTATCATTAATTTTTTACTATTTTTAAATAATTTTTTACTGAAAAATTGCTAAAAAAATAGTAAGAAAATTGTCCTTAAATAAAACCAGAGATGATTTGATTTACTATTGCAACACTAGGATGGTTTTAAAATAATTTGTCAACTTCAAATCTAGCCATTAAAGTGAATTGGATGGCTTGATTTGACAATTGCACAATATATGGTTGCTTGGCAATTGGAGATTTTTCAAATCCTTGAATAAAAGTTCTTTTAAAATAGTTAATACATCATGCAATATCAAACAAAAACAAAAAATTATGCTGCAAAGCTAAAGGTTTATTTTGCAGTTCTAGTATACAATATTTTTTAATTTTTCATTGTCTTCTTCGGCTATCTCCCACTTCTCCTGTACATATCTTCAGTGTTGTGGTTGAAGTACCAATCCCTAAACCCAACCCGAAAATTCTAGGTTGGGGTCAACCCGTTTCATAAATGGGTTAGGTTCGGGTTCCAGGATTCGACTCGTTTGAAAAAAAATGGGTCGTGTTGGGGTCAACCCGCTAACCCGAAATGGACCCGAAAACCCGCTTCGTCGGTTTGTCATGCATCTCATCGCGTCATCTCGTCTCATCCCTAATTTGCATCTAGTCTCGTCGTTGTCTCATCTCTCCATGCAGCGTTAGGCGTCAACTCACCCGTCCGCTTCAACTCTCTCCGCCCCTACAGTCACCGCCATCCGCTCAAGCCCGAAATAAAACAAAATCTGACCCCGTCGGCGGAGGTTGACGATTGTCGAAGGTTCAATAGAACCATTGCTATCATTGTAGTCATTGTCAACGCTGACCTGGGTTGGTGGGTCATATCAGTGGTTGACCCAGGTCCGAAAAGTGACTCATTTGCAAAAAATAGTCGGGTTCGAGTCGGGCAAATTTCAAGTTGGACCCAAACCTGATACGTGACCTGATTTTGACAAGTCTAGTTATATGTAATAACCCACCACACACTCACAAAGATCGATTCATTTTCAGCAACATTGGAGTCTTATCTTAAAATTAAGTTTATTTATATGCATGCTTGACTTGTGTTATGCCACCATATTGGTGCATCAATCAAACTCTTAAAAAATTGTTTTGGAAAATAATACATAAAATTACTTGGTATATTGTGATATGAGATGTTGAACTATGCTATGATATGATGAACGGAGTCCAATATGGTTGGACTTTCTAGAGTTGACTAGCATCCAATTTGTGAATGATTTTCGCCAATAAGCTCCAAATTTGATATAGAATTTTATGAATAACTTTTTAATATTGTTCCAAGTACTAGATTTAAAATTGCATTAGCTTTTCTGCAATTGGAAATTTATCCTAAACTTCAATTTATTTAAGAAAGCCGCTACTTTTAAACCAATACTTTATGTTTACATGAAATAAATTATTTACATAAAATATATATTATTTTTACTTTCAATTAAAATATCTTTATTAAAATATGATATTATCCTTTTTTTTTATTTTCGAGACGAGAAGCCAACCTTGAAAATGAAAATCATACATATATCTTCTCTCAGCTTCTATGATCAGATTGAATTAAAATATAACGGTGGAGCAGCAGATGCTCTCAATGTCCTCCTCTATTGACATTTGAAAAATATGTTAAGAGATCCTAAAAGCCAAGTCTATTAAATTTTGCTAACTTTCACTAGTTAACCTTGTTTCGAGAAGTACACAAAAGCTTTTAGAAAAAAATTATTCAACCTTTGCTCCATCTAAGGCAGGCAAACTGCTCTCGGCGACAGTCTCCTTAACGAACCTGGAAATCACAAGGCATTTGTACATATTATTAGTTGTGAAAGCCAGATCAAATTCGGGGGTTGAATTTGTCTCGCTATTAATCAACCCTCAAACTAATTATGAAAAGCAGAAACATAGTACCTTGTCAGTTTCTCTTGAGATGATTGCAGTACATAGATGGCAAGAATGAAAGAAAGAAGGAGACCTGTGTGTATTAGATAAAGAAAAATATTTATCAGATAAAGAAACTGCAACCAAGATGCTGGTGCAAACAAGATATCATGAAGCAAACAAAACTTTTGTTTATCCTACATGGGATGCAAGCGTAAGCATTAGCGGTTGCAATTGTTTCAGCAGGAAGTTCAACAAAGGGAATAAATAAATAAAAGAGAGAGTTGCTTCTTCACCACATTTCGATCTTAATCAATCAACAATCAGTAGAGTATGATATGCTCTTGTTTCATTCCTATTTCTTAGAATTTATGAAATCTACATATAAGTTTTCAGACTACCGCGTAAAGCTAGACGTCTATTATCTTCCTAATGAAGATCATAATGACAATTTACAGAAGATTTATTATACATTTTGGCGTCCTAGTCCAATCTGTCGAGGTTGACGAAATGATTAATTGCCATTTATCTTATATCCCATTTTTTCAAGACTAAAGGATTTATTACTTTTATTGGGGATTGCACTCAGATGAAATAGGTATAACTTATGAAATAAAAATGCAATATCAACTTTATTCTCCCTACTTTCATTGTTATAGAAAATCAACTTAAAGATGACATCTGAAAGTATGAGATATGTTAAGAGGGGAGTGAATTGATGCTTTTAAAAATAAGCCTAAATAGGAGTATTAATTTTTTTGTAGATTTTTCAAACTTTTGGAATAGGCAATTTAATTTCACAATGCGGAAGCTAACAATTTTAACAACAATTTCAGTAAAGATGATAGAATTTTAAATTGCACAACAGAATATTGATCTCAAAAATTCACCAAGCAATTATAATGAAAATGAAGTGCAAAAAGTAAAATGCAGAAAATAAAATCAGAAAGAACGTACCAAATTTTATAGTAGTTCGGTCAAACCATGACCTACATCCACTCCCCGAAGTCCTTCACTCTGAGTATAGCACTAATATAAAGTGACACTCTATTTGCTCTTTTAGCAAGGCAGAGAAGCCTTTACAAACTTTCTTTCACTAACCCGGTGCGACAGAGGACTGATACGCCTTTCACAAATAGAGAAACGTGACTCATTTTTCTCCCTCCTGGAGAAGACAGAGAACCTACACTTCTTTTTTCTCCCTCCTGAAGAAGGCAGATAACATCGACTCCTTTTTCTCCCTCTTGGAGAAGGCAGAGAACCTCAATGACGGACTAAGAAGCCTCTCTCCCTAGAGAGCTTACACAAGACTCACCAAGGCCACAGAAGAAGCAAGCTGCAACTACCCCGGAGAAACCATGTGGTACCCCTCACACTACTTCTCCCTCACGCTCAAACTAACGTTTTCCTTCCTCTCACAAACCCTTATTTTCTCCAAAAGCTCCATCTCAGAGTTCCTTTTTTCAGCCACGTTCCTCTCTTCTCCTCTCATCGAAAAAGGTTAAAGAATTGCTTTTATAATAACTTTCAAGAAAACCTAAAAATTCAAATTGGTCGTCTTCTGTTTGTACAGTACAATCCAAGTTCGTACAGTACAATCAGTTCAAAACAAGTCCTGTCTAGTACGATGTGAACAGTCGTTCAAACGGACTGTTCAATTTTTATGAATATATCGTACAGTACGGTCCATAAATCACCCAGAGATTTCGCCCTCATTTTGCGAGGACTTTATAATCTGAGTTCTGGTTTCCTATAGGCGCAAGCCCCTATAGTTAATTACCCCTCCCGATCACGAGAGAGAACTTTCGATTAAGGCTAGAAGTCAATCAGATACGTGTTATCTGGCATATAGTAGCAATGGGTTTGGGATTAGAAAGATTGGATATTTGGGAATTTGAAGGGTTTGATATCTAAAACTTGAAATTGCACCATCTCACACTTAAAGCGGATGGTGGGGGAATGGATGATAGACCCGATCAAGATCCCATGGTTCCGTCGTCCCGGGCCATCGTGGTCCCTGATCTACTTAGTCAGAGGAGGTAGACGACCCAACCTGACAGAAGGATCCTTGTCGACAGCCATGGGTTGCTTCGTCCAAGGGGACCTTGTAGACCTAAGGGGAGTGTTTGCCTAAGACGACAAATTTAAATCCACCTTAGCTAAAAGAGGGCTTTGTGCCCTATCAATCATATCCTATTGATTCATATCTCAAGGATTTGATGCCAATAAGGAACGTATCGGCTCTGGCCATAACCGGTATTTCGTGATGACATTTGGCAGTAAAACCACTCGGTTCAGAGGGCCCCGGGTCATAACCGTTTACCTCCAGTGCCATTTGGCGGCGAAACTGTCGGTTAGAGGACACGTACCACGTCCTTACTGGCAGGAGATTGTTTGAGAATGGATCCTAGTGATATTTTCGACTAGGCATTTAGCTCTTTTGTGAGCTGAAGTAAATTTTGATTTGTCCACCCCGGCAGACTGTTGTAGAGGATGGATGAATTTTGCTTTAAATATTTAATGGTTGACTTTCTAATTTTAAATATTTTTTTTGGAGTTTTTAGATTTTGGGTGGAGCATTTGAAAATATTTGGAATGGACCCCTTCGGTTGAGATTTGTTGTTCAACACGGCCATCATCGGGGTGTTTGGGGTCATTTCTCTTTGTTGATTGAACCCTGTCAACTCGACCAATCTGTTGATTGAGGATCGGGTTTCGTAGGGTTTATGCCTTTGAGAGTGAATTCTCTTGATTTTAGATTTTGAAGACCTAATATGAATGTATTAAAATAAATATTCTAGTCGTCACGGCCACATATTTATTTATTGGTTCGAACCTTGTCGACTCCTATTGATCTGTATAGAAGGATCGGGATCGAACTTGAATTCACTTATTGACCCGTGCAGCAACCCTAGACGTCATGTGTGTACCAATAACAAGCTCGTTGGGGCTCATGCGGGTGTTTGGGGGCATTTTGTAATTATTATTGAACCTTGTCGACTCCTACTTAGAAGGTTCAGGTTCATATTTAATAACCTGCACAGCATCCCTAGACGTCACGTGTTTACCAATAACACGCTCGTTGGGGCCCATGCGGGTGTTTGGGCGTATTTTATAATCATACCGTCTACTCCTTTTTATCTGCTTAGAAGGATCGGGTTCAAATTCAATAACCCGCGCAGCATCCGTAGACATCACGTGTGTAACAATAACACGCTCGCCGGGGCCCATGCGGGTTGTTGATTGCTTTTACCCTTTTTGGTGTACCTATGTGTATAAAAGCTACGGTGCACGTGCGGAAGTATTTTTGGAATATTTGTAGATGCCTTCTGTCCGCTTGATCCGGTGGCGTGGCGTAGCAGCTTCTGGATTGAGTTGTTCGCTGCTTCGTACAGGTAGACTGTCGTGCACTACTTGTTGCTTTCTGCAGGTGGGTCATAGTGCACTAACTAATCTCCTGCCTTTGTTACAAATGATGACGACTGCTGGAAGTCTTCTATATTAATTAGGTGATGGCATGTATAACAAGTATCATACGACAGCCTATTGGTGATTGCATTTGCTTAATGTGTCCCACCTCTTCTTGTAGCGGGCCCGTGTGTTAACCTCAACTGTATGGTTGTTGGCTACAAAGAGACTTTAGCCTTTACTATTCGTTATAGATCATCACCCGTAGGAGCATTCTTGTGTATGTGGTGACTCCCTCGTATTTGTCACCATCTTCTATCTCTTATTTGTAGAAGATCTCCCATACTATCGATGTATAATACACAGCATATGTAGCTATACATGCAAAGAAGGGTGATAGATTTATTGGATGTTGAATGGTGATTGATTATAGGAGTACTATGACATCAACATCTATTGATAATCACCCGCCTATGTATATTATTGTGCATGAAATGCATTTTCCATTACAGATAGTAGATCCTTGTATTCACCACGATCTTTTATCTTTTTCCTATAAAGGATACACCACACTAGTGATGCATTCACTATCGTTGTTATAGATAGGATCATTATAAGAGCGAAGAGTTCCCCTGTAGTAGCTTGTAGGAATTTACACTTTAATGTGGTCATCTCATATTCGTAGGTATTTGCACATAATGTGCCAATCAATCACCTTATGCTTACAAGGGATATATGTGTTTGTATGGTAACTTAGTTGCATTCATTCACTTCTTCATGCATGTTGATTGTCGTTGCTTGCAGGTTTGATTGCATGATTGACATAGAAGTTATTTACATGAAGTTCAACTTTGGAGTTTTGCTCATCACCAATGATATTCAACATTTTACTGATGCTACCTACAAATCTCTATTTGCACTTTGACATTCATCTATCCAAATGTCAATGTTCTTCAATTTATATTTGATCCTTTTCTTTTCAATTTCATGTCATTATGAGTCTTTAAGCTCTTATTAAGTTTCATTCAAGCTCAGTCTATAATTTTACGTTTGATTTGATATTCAAATTCGAGTGAAGGTTCTTTTTTTTTGCTCAATTAGAAGTCATAGTTTGAGTACAAGTTTAATCTCTTTGCTTAAACTCATTTTGATCAATAGTCCCTGCTGTTTCGTAGAGTTCAAGTCTGCGTTCAACATGAGTTCAATCAAGTTCTCACTTGGCTCAGACAGTCTATGTTCAAGTTCCAATGTCCACATGTTTTGAAGCTTTATGTCAAAGTTACCTTGCAAAGTTCAATGTTCATATAGGTCGGGTCATTGTTTGAAGTTCAAAATGAGAGTTAGTTTGTGCTCTTTAATTCAATCAATTTCTTTTATATTATCAAGTTCATTTTAGTAGATGAATAAGTTCACTAAGTCCACATTTGCTCCAAGTCCTGTCACTTTTCGAATAAAATTCTGCGCCTCCGCGTCATCCCCCATTTATTGGGGAAAAACAAGAGGCCCGCTACACCGCCGTCAACAAATGACATTCACGGTTGGTGTTTGTGAGACACCACTGGGTGAGGTCAGTTGACAATTTTTTTTCTCCAGCACGACCAAAGCAAATGTTTCAAGTACGCATGGGGGTTTTTAAAAAAGGTTCTATTTGAAAAGACAGATTCTTGAAATTCCTCCCCTCGCGTCAGAGGTACTTATGAGCGACCCCGTGCGTAGGTGCCGCACCGGGGTCCCATCCCACCACGCGCAACAAAAGCGTGCATGGGCAGTTTTCCGGTCCGCCACGAACATTGAAGTAGGGTTT